ACGGCATAAGCGACGACAATGGCACATGCCTTTTACTGAACCCCATGGCGGAATGGAAGAGGAGAGAGGCGGATTCGGCGTCGCATTCTGATACGTATCCAGATCCAGACTCAGATCCGGATCCGGCCTAAAAACTTGCCTCCCCAGCCCCAGCTCACAATGGAGCGAACATGTCGTAAGATTTTGCTGGCAAAACGCCTCGGGGGCGATACCATCATCGACATCATCAATTCAAACGGTGGATGGCATTTGAATTGATGGGCAGCCAGCCAGGTGGCAATCTGTGCAGCAGGATGTGGAATGGATATGTATAAGTGGGCCAACGATGGGTTATTCAGCGGCTGGCACTGCAAGATCTCATTTCACCTGTGTTGCACTTACGTGGGACAAAGTGGTCTTTGGTGGATTTGGTGGTATTTCTGGGAAATAATCACAAGGATAAGGCTTCAGTACCAAACGGGTAAAAACGGGTATTTTTTGAACATCTTTCAATTATTTCAAATGTTCATGTAGATCAATACCAAAGGCATGTGCCATGTCATTTTTATTGGCTCCCCTCATCGTGCTCATCGGTTATTTCCTATATCTTTCGCGGACATCTCTGATGGATCCTCATAAAGTTGTTATGGTAAATCGTTATCCCCTTCTTTCTTATTCAGATGCACTTTCATAAGCTCTTCATTCTCCTTATTAAAATCACTATTCATATCCTTTTTCTCCTTCGTTACCTCAGTCTTCACAGTTTTCTCTGTCTTTTGCTTAATTATCTCCTCAGTCGTTTGCTTGGTGCTTCTCTTGGCCATTTCGCTTTCGTCCTCATCAGATGACGATCCTTCGTAGCTGAATGCTGGTGGCTCGTCGCTCCATTCGGCATTATTTTCCATTTCGAGGTACCGCCTAAGGTAATCCGCAAAATAGCAGGAAATTGGTAGAAAAAAGGAATCGGTGGGGCCATTGAACAGCCTCAAAACCAGCTGATACATGTGTCTGGAGCAGCACTTTGCCTAAAGGAACCTGCGCTACCTCTCTCCATTCTAAATTGATATCTAAGGTCAGTTACATACACTTCAGAGTTATATTGGCTTGCCTTCTTAACGTAAATGACGTACGATACGGATATCATGTCTGTACCACCTTCCAAATTGGGGCAAATCTCCTTCTTTGGCTGATTATTCATTTCAAAACTCAACAACACGCGTTTGCAATTAAAATATCGTTTTGGGGATGGGAAGCTAATTGATATATAATATAAGCTGATTGCATAATGATGTAGCTTTACTCCAGTGTTTATAAACGATAGGCATAGCTAGCCACAAGCTTAGTGTTGTTAAACGATAGGTACTATGTGGCTAACTGCAGTGTTGTTGACGGATAAGTATTGTGGAGCTGTGGCTAACTTAACAGCTGCAAATCGATATTAGCAGGTAGTGTTGTGTTGCAACACTAATTGCAGCAGTAATTGTAAACACATACCCTCCAACTTTTTTCTCTCTCTACTTAGCTTTTAAATACCAAATAGAGCTGACTGTAATCCGATATGAGTAAAACACTCGTATCTTGTCACGTGAACCTCTATCTGCCTGAGTTGCACAATATCCAATTCTCTTTTCCCCCGTTACTTTCTCCATCAGCCGTCCGTCCTTTCTTCTTCTCCCTTTGTTTTCGATGGCTGTCTCTGAATGAGTTCTTTGGTTTTTGTATGGAAATTTTGAAATTATGTTTCTTGTCTTTTAATTAATAATCTCAAGGGTGTGTTGGCCTGTCCTGGCCATGGCTTATGTCGGAAGAAGACGGAGTTTTGTTGGATTTGCGAGGGTTTCACATCGGTTGGGGGACTGTGAATGCCGAGCAACGGGGCGTATGTGTAACATGTGAAAGCGTCGACTCAGCAGGCAGCAGGCAGCAGGCTGGCAGCTGGTGTAACTCAAATTGTAAATGGTGTTGATGCCCCCGTCCCCGCAGCCACCGCTTTCCGCCCACTTTTCCACCGCCTTTCCCGCTTTTCCGGAGTAACTTTTATGGCCTGGGTGCGGATGTGTGTTGGCCTCTGTGTATTTGTGTGTGAGTGCGGCCTGACAATGTGATTTACATTTAATTAAAATCGTATTTACTCGTTAGATAAACAAACACAGAACTCGGGGCACCCTCTGCAGCGCTCCGCCGCATCATTAGGCACTCGGAGCGCTCGAATTTGCCAAGTGGCATTGGGAAATGGCGGCGGGAAATGGGAAATCCTTGGTGGAAAGTGGGTTGGGAAAGTGGTCTTGGGAAATTCAACTGGAAGCCAAGTCGCAGGTGTTGGCCTGCCACTTGGATGTCAGCCTTGTGTTGACGTTGACAGGGCGACATGTCAAAAATAACTCGGTGCCATCGATCGCCGAAGGCTGTTTAAAAATAAAGCACTCTGTCTTTTGGCCAAAAACGAAATAAGACACCCGGGAAATGGAAAATCTTGAGAGGCCGTACAAAATGCCCAAATATTACCAATAACGGAGCGTGAGGTAATAGAAACGTATTTATAGATCGCAAATTTAAACTCCTTTTATACACCAATGTAAGCATGTATCATCGGTATAAATTAAACAACTTCCAAGTTTCCTAGAAGCCAAATGTATATATGTAAATATCTCTAGAGTCTTGCCCACAAAGCTCCTATTTCATTCGTTCATTGCAAATTGCAATTGTAAAAACATATAGTTAGTTGAAACCAATTGTTTTTGCTGGCCATTCGAGACCAAACCAAATTGTCAATCGATGCTGACTTGGACATTAATTGCAGGAAATGCTCTGTGCAGCTTTTAGCCTTTTAAAGAAACCTCCAATCATGTTGCATTCAACAGCACAAGTTGTCCCCTTTCGACCCCCACACCAGGACCACTCCAATCCACCCCCATTTGGTCCCCATTCATTGCCCATTCTTTTCCGCCTCTTGTTTTGACTTGATGACCAAGTTAAACAAACACACGCCACACAAACATGAACCGGCGCTCCGGCAATCGCAATGGGATTCAAACTGGAATTGGGACTCCGACTAGGAGTGGTTTGGTAGTGGTGGGCATGGCCATGGCCATGGGAATGGCCATGGGAATGGGAACGTTGACTCTGCTGCAGCCGTGTCCAATTTGCATGGCCATTGTGAGCTGGGCAGGAAGTGGGGAATCCATCGCCTTCTCCGGAATTCCCAATCATGCCCTCTGTGGAGAACTGGGTGGGTCACAAGTGGGCATGGGCAGCACATTTCCGGCATTTATCAATGGTAATTTCTCGTGTCAGCTTTGAAATAATTTCAGTTGACGGAAGCGAGACTATTCAAGTGTGTCCAAATGCACACAAAAATTATGCCACAATTAGCATTTTGTTCTATGGAAGCCATTGTGTACGTTTTCATATAGCATTTCAAGCGGACATTTAAATTCAGCTGATAAGTTTGCGGTTTCCCTTGACTCGTATTTAATTAAAATAATCTGCACTTTATTCAGCAAGCTTCTTATAGTATATTTAAATGACAGCATATTCTGGGATGAATTTAAAACATCATAATATACATGTGTAAAAAATATTTGATGCAACGCACAGCGATGTTTGTGGCCTGATTTTTAAAATTGTTCAGTTATGATTATTATTTTATACAGAATATAGTTCATAATTTATTAAGTTCACACGTACAGACGTGTGAGTAAAAAAACCGTTGGTAAATTAATTGATGGGTATTATTGATACCTAGCAGCTGAGGTAATCAACGCTTTATTTATATTTTAACAATAATGTCGAGCAACCCTTTTTAAACATAAATATTCATGAGTATTTGTAGTGGCCAACCCGAACTGAACTTTTTGTTGCCTAATCGATTTTCCCCCTGGCTTCTGCCTGATTTTCCTGCACTTTGACTCCGATTTCGGCAGGGGCGGCGGAAAAGGGGGCGTGATAAGGGGCAGCTTGTAAAACAATGACAAGGACAAATTCGTGCGATAGGCAAACAGCATGCAAGGCTCTGTGGCAGAGGGTTTTCTTGGGCAAGGGGCTCGAAGTGTCAATACAAATATAAATCAATGTTCGGGGAAGCAGCTGGGAAAGGTATGGGAAGCGGTACCGGCAGGAAAAGCGGAAAAACTGGAAAAAGGTAACATGCCTAAGCAGTTGTTGCCTTTGTTTTTGCCCTCTTTTTGCTGGCAATCAATTTTAACAAGCACCCAGTTTCGGAGATCTGCTCGGCTTACTGGGCATCTTGCTCCTAATTGGTTGCCAGTTAGATGTAGAATGAATACGTAAGGCATGCGACACAATTCAAGTTCAATGGAATTCTACGGGAATTCTACCTATGGGAAATGAACGAAAGGAGCAGAGAATAAGGCAGGGATTTTGCTTAGTGGAGAACCCACATTGGAAACAAAAACCTTTCTAGAATTTCATTTAATTCGCAGTTTCGCAAATATGTTGTTCCTCTTGCTCTGCCTCTCTCTCTCCCTCTCTCTGTCGCTCACTATCGCCGGCTCTTTCTGTGCCGTGCGAGTTGTGTAATTAGTGCAAGCGAGAGGGCGAAAGCCTTCGAGGGAGCGGGACAGAGAATAGGCCGCGTAAAAAAGTTTGCAGACTTAGTTTTTCCTCCATTTTTGCACTCTACAGTGCTTTATACTCGCACAGTTTTTGCTTTTGTTTTTGTTTCGCTAGAATTTGTTCAATTTAATGTAACATGGAGGAGAAGGCACAAAAACCAGAAACTGGGAGGCGGACTTGGGGGTGGGCGTGAGAAACGGGCGGAAACAACATGGAAAACTGAAAAGTTTGCGGTGACGCCGGAAAATTCCATCAAAACTGTGGGGAACAGCCTTAAAGTGACTTTAAGGGTTTCCCAATTATTTGCAAGACCCTGAAAAACTAAGGAAAATTGCTCTGGTTGCAAGGGCCACAACATATATTATTTATTATTTACGTATTTCTTGGAGAATGTGCGAATTCACCAGAATACCTCGATTATATAATTTTGAATCAAGTGCTATTTATTAATATAATGAAATAATGCTCTGATCTGTATGGAAATTTAACAGGATATCAACCACGTAGAGCTGGCGGTCACCGGATATTACCTCGCCTTCATCTTCAAGCTCTCCGGATTCTCCTGATTCTCCAGATCCTCCAGATTCTCCAGATCCTCCAGATTCTCCATATCCTTCAGGTTCTCCAGATGCTTCGGCCGTTTCGGTTTCTCCTGGTTCCTTGGATCCTTTGGGATGGTTAGTTTTCTCTAGCCCATGGGCTCCTCCAGTTTCTCCAGAATCGCCTTTCCCCTCTTCCTTTTTACCGAAATTCCCCATTATAAACTCCTTCGAAAGCTGCTTTTTCTGGGCTTGCATGGCACGCCACTCGTCGAGTGTATATTGCTGGGGCTCCTCCGATGACTCGTCCTTATTAGCGAAACTCGATAGCTTTGACAACTTCATCCTGTCGAGGACACGCGAATTGGCCTTCGGGCGGAAGTCGATCTCCTCCTGCAGCGATCCCCAGTTGTGGGCCCCGGCTCCATTGCGTTTGTCCACTGCCTTTACGCCAGTGCGATTCGATCGGGATCGGCGGTCAAGGAGTCGGTCACCAGATCGATTGAGTCCAGTTTCGCCAAGCATGCTCTTTTGTATTGGTACAATTCCTGGCACAACAGGATCTGCCCCCTTGATGTCCTGCACCCGGTTCCTTTTGGGAGCAGGCAATGCAATGCTCGAATTGGGCTTCCTCTCCACCTTCGGCTGGAATAGACGTGCTGTCTTCTGCGGCTTTGGCGGCATCTTCTTGAGAATGGCCACCTTCGATGGCTTCTTCTCCGGCTTCTTCATCTTGCGATTATTGCCAGCGAAGGTGCAACAATTGTCATAGCTCTCTTTCATATTTGATACAAATTGTAGTAAAAATCAGATATATAATATACAATGCAAATCGGAGCTGGCAAATGGGAATCGGTCTAAACTGAATGACAATCAGAGCCAATTCGAATAGCTGAAAGCCCGGCCAACTAAGTTTTCCCAAAATATAATACAGAAATTACGATGGAAACATTGCAGCAATCAAATAAATAATAATATCAAAACACCCTTTTAGGCAATCCGCTTTGCATTATGTCACATAGTTTCTTTATGGGCAAATAAATATGAGTTTAGGTATCATAATTTTGTTCATTCCAATGAAAAGCTAATCAACGTAATGAAATATTTATATTTTTCATAACATTAAATTATGTGCCCCTTGTGCGCGCAACCCCTCACTTATTTCGGAAAGTTATATAAGATTGCCATGGAGTTGCTAGGATATTCACTTAAGCTTTCAGTTACCAGCGTAATTTTCAGACATTATTATTTATAACTTTATTCGCTCGGCGAGTGCTTCGTTTTGGCCACTTCGTTCATTTCATTTGGCTGCCCGTTCCTGTGGCTCCCTTGTGTCTCTGTGGAGTGGCCAAAAGTCCACTGGTCCAGTGGTCCAGCGGTCCAGCGGTGCAGAAGTCCAGGGGTCCAGTGGCCCATGGTCTTGGCCATCAAGTTCTGTGTTTTGTCATAAGTCATGTGTCTGCTCGTCCGTGTTGCGCGTGTTTCTCTTTTTGCAGCACAAAGTTGTGTACTTATTAAAATTAGTTTCTGCTGCTGCGCTACTATTTTTCATAATTAAAGTGCAAATAAAAAACTAAACTGGCGAACAAACAATTGCAATTAACTCTTGTTGTTGCTGGGCCCCCCTGTTGATGTAGTTATTCGCATTTATTTGCGAGATTCGTGTTTTTCCACCCCCCATTTTCGCTTTTCTTTTTTTATATACTATATATACATATATATAGTCGCCTTTGCCGCTGCTGTGCAAAAACATAATTCACTTTTTATTATCTCATATTTTATAGAAAGTTTCAGCAAAATATGGGTGGGTGTACATCAGCCATATACTTGTACATACATATACTGGGGTGTATATATAATGCAGGGGCTGTAAGCCTCTCTGTGTGTCGTTTAATTCATTTAGTTTATGCTTTTAGCGCTTTATTTGCTTAACTGCAAACTGCAGTTTGCATGTGTGCTTAAGTTTGCGTGTGTGTGCGTGAGCATAATTGCAGCACACACACACGCACACGCACACGCACACACACAGACGCACTGGATTTTGCAATTACTCCGCTTGACAAACAGCAGCAAGAACAACGACAACAACAGCAACAGCAAGGAGCCGCAGCAGAATTCCTCTGGAATTAATCAAAATATGAACAATTCAAGCCGCTCCCCTGAAAAACCACTCCCCGGAAAATTCCCACTCCACGGCAGTGGAAAACCGCAGATGCTGCCATTGACAACGCATCGCTGCATTTTGCAGTTTGCATTTTGCATTTCGCATTTTCCATTCCGGGGCATCCTTTCGCCTGTTTGCCAAATATCAGCAAATTTTGCGTTTAAGCCAAGTGCAAACATTTTAGCAAACGGCGAGCAAACAAAAGACGTCACAGCCGCCTTTCCATTCAATCGATTGCCTCTAATAAAAGCCACTTAACATTCGCTCGAACAACAAAATCAGCAGCCAAAATCAACAGCCACCACATTTCCAAGTATTTTGGCATTTCGCATTTATTTTGCATTTTGTTTTAATTAAAAATTAGGCCGCACTGTGAAATTTGGGGCGACTGAAGTCTGTTTTGGTTTCGCAACTGCAAACACTTAGTTTGCAAAAAAAAAGAGCATAGATATATATAATATATATTAATACAACATTAATCCACCATGAGGAATTCGATTGGAAGACATTTTTTTGTTCTCACCTATCCATGCACTTAGTTTGCATTTGGTTTTGCACAAACTTTGAACGGAAAGCAAAATATTTAGAATAAATAAAAACACCATAACTATTTCAGTATTTTGCGTGCATTTAGTTTTAATCGAAAATGAAAACGGGGGAGAATAACAGAAATTTGTGGCAACTTTTTTGTTTATTTCAAACATAATTAAAAGTTTTGAAATAAAATGCTCGTGCTGCCTAATTAACTATTTTGTACTAGTTGTTATTTGTTTGTTCTTTCCATTTAAAAGTTAGTGCATGGATTATTTAATTTTTAGAATACATACGCATATAAATGTACTCTATGTATTGGGTATTACAACTTTCCTTTATGTACTACTTTCCTCCTTTTTCGCATATAAAGGTAACATTTTGTTGAAAGAAAAAATGAACAGTGATGATATAATAAGTTTATTCCTTTTCTGGGAGCGATGAAAATGAAAAGCCAGGCAAGTAACAATCGTAATTGTTACAGCTGTTCGGCCAACTTTTTGTGGCTTCTATTTTCCTATTTTATTTTAATTTTTATTGGGCGTCTGGCTTCGTACTCCTAAACGTATACGCAATTTCTTTTATGAGCCATTCCGACTGTGCGTGTGTGTGTGCGTGTTTGTGTGTGAGTGTTGGTGTACATTTTGCTCCTTTTTTGTCTTGGGATGAGTGACTTTCATTTATGCCCTGCTAGGTCCAAAGCCCAATTTCGCCTTTTTCTTCTGCTTCACTTTTCGATTTGCCATTTCGAATTCACTTCATTGAATTGTTAATTTTATCGCTCATTGGAGAACACACATACTTACATACACACATACACTGCCATTCGACGGGGGGGCCATTGCATAACTTTGATTTTCCTGCCCGTTCTTTATTGTCATTGCCCATGCCAGTGGCTTGTATTTGTGGTTATTACACCCAGTTCAGGCCCTTTTTCTCCATATCCATACCCGTATCATTTGCTCATATTAAATTTTATTGCTCGCGGTATTCCCTCATAAACATTTTGTCTTCCATGCGCCCTCGCATCCTCGAGTTTAATCAAACGGCGGCGAGGTGAGCGCGTAATCTTGGCGGAAGGACGAGGAGGAGCCACCTCCACACGACTTATATTGGCTGGCATGGCATGGTATGGCATGGCATGGTCTGGCTTCTGGCAAATTTCTCGGGGTCCTGGCACTGAACCGGCCATCAAATTGCGGCGATATTACACACAACTGCGCTGGGATTGCCAGGACACAAAGTGGACTGCCGGCCAGTCGTCCACTGACCAGTGGACTGTTCTCTTCTAGGCGGCGAAGAAGCTGAACCGGAATGATGGTCAACTGGCAGCAGGTCGTCGCTAAGCAGCAGCAGGTAATACTCCAAAAATACCCTGCAGCTTAGTAAGGTATTTAATATCGCAGTAGATCTTGGAATCCTGATGAATAAGTATAGTAGCAAACCTGTTTGCAAAACAAAATTATTAAAAATCAATCATTTTAGCTGGCAATACATTTTAAGAAATATTCCATATTATTGAATACAAAATGGAAATATTCTTAAATACTCACATGTTCAAGGGATACAGGCTCATATACCACTGAGTCGAATACCCCCCTTGCTACCCATTGCTTTTGTCAGTTACTGTAGTTTCCGGCTTGCCTCAAAGGAGAAATTTGCATTTTTTTCAGTAAATTCAATATTTTCCTTTATGATTTTCCGCCGCTGCCTGCTGCTTTGCTGCTTTGCTGCTGCTGTCGTTTTCCCGCTGACTGTCTTTGTGGAACGAAGCAGCCCCATCACCATCATCTTTTGGCCATATTTCCGCTTACCCATTCCATCCGCTGCGCTTGAGCCAGAATCTGAATTTTTGCTGCCAGCTTTCGGATTGGGCCATCGGTTCATGGGCAGAGTTGTAGGTTCTGCATGTGATATTAAGCCGGGACCGAGTCGAAGACAAACATCGTCTGGCTACGGGACACGGGACACGGGAAACTGGGACAGGAAACGGGAGGAGTAGCTCTGTAGTGGGCGGTGGGAGGTGGGTGGATGTGGAGCTGGGGCGGACAAGGACGAGGCAGGACGCGACTGTCATTTGCCTGATAGACGAAAGTGGAGGCCGCGTCCTTTGGCAGGCGATCCGGTCCAACCCATTGCCCCTTTCCTCCGCCTCTGTTTGCAGCATCAACGAAATATCCCATCCGACTTCAGATTTTCCTCCGAGGGATAACGTTTAGGGGGTGTTGTTCGGGTGGCTTGGCTTTGGCCGTGGGGTGGGTTCTTTGGCTTCGCCCTTTGTCCTTGGCATCAAGTGCTTGTGCCTGATTTCGGAAATTGGTTTGCATTAGAAATCACTTAAGCGCATAAAGTGGTCGTGAGTTATTGCCGCAGGATGTGCACCAGGACACCCAGGATATGTGCTCCTTCGCGTCCCTCCTGATTTCGCTTCGTTTAGCCCTGTTGTTCCTGGCTGCCGCATTTTTTCGGCTTTGGATTTTGCCTGAACTTCAACCCGCAACAAATTAATTAGAACGAGCTGAATCTTTGTGGTCGCCAGCCAGGCTGTTCCCACTGCACAGGAAAACATCTACATGCGATTGGTAAAATAAAAATATTATTATATTATTATAAACCGCCTCTGCAAATAAAGCAATAAATAAGAAAACATTGCTTTTCCATAGCAACGGAAACACAAAACTGCATTGTTTCAGTAAAAAGTAAAGAGAAGAAAAAACATATTATGCAAACGCAGTTTTAACCCAATATACCAACATGATATTTGTTTCCTGCATGTTCACAACACATTTAGCCAAAATAATAAATAAAAATAACACAAATTACCATCACGTTAATATTTTTCTATGTGTACGCCTCCTTCGCCTTCAGAGCCTCCTTTTTATTTTCTTCTGTCTCGTCGTCATCTCATTTCAGTAATTAAGACATTTTGCTTCATGAACTTCAAAGAAAACATAACTTGCACGCTCCACTGGCTCGCCAGTTGGATGTTGCCTTCGGTCGGCGGAGTTGCAGTGGTGTGGTGGTGTGGTGGTGTGGTGGTGCGGTGCTGTGGTGGTGCGAGGTGGTACATTGCAGCGGGTGGCTGGTGGCAAGGTGATAGCGGGTGGTGGCAGCGTAGGAAAGCCTTGCAACTTTTTGCCCGCACAATGCAACACAATGTGCCCGGCTTACAGATGTTGCGCCTTGCATCTTCCTCTTCCTGCTGGGCTGCTAATTTCCTTCATTAAGCAGCTCAAGCATTTAATGGCAACAGAGGACTAAATTGTTGCTCGTGGTAACGTGGCAACAGCAACAACATGGACTGACTGAGCAAAACAACACAGGGACAATGTGGAATCCTGGATGGAAAGGACCTTTCGACAAGTGTCAGTTGGATAAAGTCGAACGCCGGTATGTGCAGGTACAGTTGGCATCGTTTGATTGATTGGTCAACTAATTAAGTCATAATCAGAAACATATTGCCATAGCATAGGAACTGCTAATTAATCCTGACAGTCGGACAAAATATTTAGTAGTTGAGCTATGATTGAACCAAATTTGATCATATTGCAATTCTACTTCTTATTGCCAATAAATGTTATTGCCTGTATCAAAACTATTTTGATTTCTGCTTCAAGATTCACATTCAAACTACGTATTTACAGTTCATTACTTGGACTCTTAAATTGCTGGTTATTTATATGCAACTGCAGTTTTAGCCACTAATTTGTGACTCAATAAGTATGCTACATTATAACTAGATAATTGCGCTAAATATTATCCGATTAGCTTGCAGTGCGACTATAATTTAATGCTAATACACCTCTAGATGTGTACATAAACAATCTCATATCCGCTGAATTTATTGTGTTTCAATGATGATTCATGTGTGGCACAAACATTTATTTGCGCAGCCAGAAGTTTTTGGCTCTCAAATTAAATGGCATCAACTGTTCGCAGTCCAAAACTTCTGCCTCTTCAGCTGGGGCAACTTTTCATTGTGGCTCAATCTGATAGATTACGCATACGCCGCGTTGTCGCTGCCTGGTTAAATTTAACGAGCAAGAAAAACACTCAATGCGAGACCGAGAGCCGTCCGCCTGCCAGGATCAGCAAGCCGGAGCTTAAGCCAAACCGAACCCATCCTGAGGGCGTGGCCGTGGGCGTTGGTCGGGGGCATGGGGCATGGGGCACCCACGCCCACGCCCGCTGATTTATAATTTAATTTGTGTGTTGGCGGAAAAAGTTGGTGAAACCCTCTCGGCTCTGCGGCTCACAACTTGAAACTCAAATAGAGCAGGGCGAAGCTCCCAGTTTTCCAGGCTCAGGTTTTCCCACTGCCAGTTGCCCGGAATCCCGGCCAGCGTTCAGCGTTCACCGTTCAACAGCCAACTTTGTCCATTAAAACAAACTTTTTCAGGCAGGTGGAGCGCATCGATGGCTTCCACCTCCTTGTAAGCCAGCTCCAACTCCAACTCCAACTCCAGCTTCAGCTCCAGATCCACTTTCCCGACCCCCTGAAGTTGACTGCAACAAGGTAACCAAAAACTGATACGCCGAATGCAGGCAACCAATTTTGTAATGTGAATTTAATGTCAGTTTTGCGACAGGTGCGTTGAGTGGCAGGGAAATGGGGGTTTTTCCCAGAAAAGCTCTCAGCCAGCACTGCCAACAACTCTTTACAACCCTTCCACACACACACCGCCCCCTGCTTTTCCGCCCTGCGGAGCGGGCTTAATGCATTGCATTTGCAGTTATTGGCAAACTTTGCTGTGGTCAGATGGCATACATACCTATATGGACGATAGCAGCCAGATGGATCTGGCTGTCAGGAATCTGGGGAATCAGTGGCATCGGCGGTGCACCTGGTGTGGGGCAGAGATCCATTTCCATCCTCTTTTTGGGTCACATTTGATTGGCACTGGCCTTGCGACCGATTAATTATGGAGCATCCTTTTGCCGTCCAAACGGAATCGTAAAAAGGATGTATGTCCTAATTTCGCTCTGCAATTTTCATTTTCAGTTTTTGGCAATCAGTCAACTGAAATGAACTGCTTACGACCACGAATCCAGTGGATTTGAGCAGTTTTTTTAATGCCATTTGCTTACATTGTGCAACGAATCCCGAAGAAATGGGTACCCAAAATACTAATACTTTAAGCCAGTACAGGGTATGATTATATATGTTCGCTAAGTGATTTATGTTCGCAGTGGCATTATAAATTTACGTTATTCTGGCATGACATACTTTTCCGCAATTGCCGTGTACTTTTTTGTAATTTATGCTCTTGAAAAAATTTCGTTGATTGATTTAAAGACACCGCCTTTTTTGCCATCACTCATTTGCCATACATGTTTTTTATGTGCGACGAAAATGCTTTGTTGACAAATAATTCTCACGCAATTTAATGAAAATTAATGACTTGCACTTTGAGTGATTATTGTGGGGAGCTTGCGTTCGGCATCGGACTGTCCCCAGTCCGCTCCTGCTCCTCGTGCTCCACTCCACTCCACCCCACATCACATCACATCACTCCAATCCCTGTCCCTACATGTGCACATGTGCAGAGTCCTCTCCAGATCCAGCTCACTTCATGGGCGCTCGGTTCCGCGCTGTTTGCCGCTGGCATCGCTGCATTTTCATTGCGTTAATATTGAAATTGGGTTAATGAGTTTTTGTTTATGGCGCGGGCACACAGACTCACCTTTATTCCAATCTCCACCCGCCCTGCTCTGCTCCCCGTTCTGTGGAAAACTGATGGCATCCGCCTCTGCATCCGCATCCGCATCCGCCTCCACATCCAAACTCATCCACTGAGCTCATTTGGCGGGTTTAATGCAAATTTTCCGAAGCGGGGTGGCCGAACAGTGGGCGTGGCTCGTAGGCGGCGCTGAAAACTGTTACCATTATCTTATATAGCCAGCTCGTTTTTATATCGATGGACTTGCCTGTGTAATACGGCCGACTGGCCAGGGATAGTAAATAAGGTGAAGTATTAATAAAATATTGATTTTATGCTGGAGAAATATTGTCTAAGAGCTTAAAGCTATGAGCAACTCACTTAAACTACAAAGTCTACAAATAATATGCAATTCGAATATTAAGAATCTATAGTATCGTTCAACGCCACTGAAAAATATATACCAATTGCACAAATATATTTTTAATTTATTTAACAATGGTATGTCAACCTTTCATATCAATAAATGTACTTGAGGTAGAAATGTGAGAAAATTAAATACAACTATCTGGAGGTTTTCCTCCTCGATTGCTGCTCGATAATGATGGAAATGGGTTTCCAGCGACGACGATGATGACGAATGCTCCTTTTGAGTGGGAAAAACATTTTCAGATGATGCTCTCCAAAGGGTTAATGTTAATTAAAGTGCAACTGGCGGCTTTTCGCCAGGCAGGTGCTGCAAATGCAAATGCAAATGCAATTGCAATTGCCACTGCAATTGCAATGAATACAAAAAATGTGCAACCCAGCAATATTGATTGTGCAACGGCAACCGCAAGAGCGCCTGAAATCCATTTCAGTAATCAAAATATTGGCTCAAATTAAATTCAAATTGTTGGAAAAACATAGCCAAATCGAAATGCATGGAATGCATCTTTGACAAAGGATGCAAAGAACGAAAGTTTTTAGCCTTTATGGATGCGGTTTCACAAACATGTTTGGTCCCGGCTGGGTTTCATAACCATACTATGGGTTATGGCCACGAAAGTATGCCGATGGATTCTACTTGCTGTGTTAATGATGCATTTCGTGCATGCCACGCCCAGTTTTCCCGGAGAGGCGGTTCTCCCAACGTGCTTATTAGGGCGAAAATTCAATTAATGAGCGCTGCACCCGACTCGCGTTTTTTGTATTGAATTTCGAACAATGTTGCCGCTGCACAGAGAATATTTTCGAGGATACTAGTGGCAAAAAACGACCAATACATTGGAAATATGTGCAAAAGTGGTCTTTACAAAATCACTAGCTATTGCACACTTGTAACACCTTTTAAAACGAATTAGTTGGCATTATTGATGGGAAATGCCTTTAATTATGCTGTATAACCAATTGTTACAAGTGGATGCATTTTCGCCGTGTGTAATTGCGTAATTGATGTTTTGTCGGCGTTTTTCAGCCATGTCCTGGATTCTCGTTGCGCTGTCGCATGGCATACTTTTGCCCAGCATGTCGGCCAATAAATTATGCGAAATTATTTGAAGTTGTTAATGGGCTGCGTTGCCGTTGCTCTGAAGCCAAACGAAGCCAGCCGCCCAGTGCGTGGCAGTTGCTGTCACAGTTATGATTTAGCTGCCTCATTTGCCATTTGGCCATTTGGCCATTTGGCCACCCCACAGAACCACTGACTTGGCTAGTAGCCCACCTAGCACCTCCGCCATATACTGGATGCTTTTGGCTGCCCCGACCGGGGAATTGTCTCGGAATTCAATTTGTTTTCGGGATTTCAGCGCAAAGTTAATTACCCGCAAAAAACTAGGCGGGTCCCAGTGGCGTTGATCGCATAAATATGCTGGGAAAATCAATCATGAAGGATAATTGAAAAAGCCCCCAAAGCAGCTTTGGTCTGTGATTTGTGGATTTAATTAAGCAGGGGAATAGCACTTTGTTGGCCTAGAAATTTGTACAACATTCAATTTGCTCGCTAAATATTATTCATGGCATTAATTTGCGTGCAGAAGGCAGTATTTATACTTAGCCCATTAAAAGACTTGGCTTTAAAATGCCATAAAATGGGCACAAATAATAAAATATTAAATAGTTTGAGGATTAACAGCTTGGGACAAGCGAAGTAGGTACGAGTATATTATTCCACTGAATGCTCTTACGATTGCCAATAAGATTCTTTGGGGAACTTCGCTTTTCCCCAGCCGAAAACAAAGTTGCCCGATTCGCCGGATCGGGAAATGCAAGTTTTCCATTGCACTTTGTTGCGCTTTTCATCAGCTGTGGCCATCTCACTTTCACTTGAAACTTTCTTATTGCATACTTTCATTATACTTGTACGTTTATTATGCTGGAGGGGCGGGGTCGAAGCATATTTCATTTACTGCTCGCTGGTATGTGGCGAATTTCCCCATGGAATTTTCCCGCTTTGCACTTTGTAGTTTCTCGATTTATATATTTTGGCACTTTTGCCTGACGCATTGACCTAATTCAATTTCACGCTGCGCAACACACAAAACACAGAGATCAGGGTAGTGAAAAATAGAGCAAAATAATGGGGAGTCGAATAGAAGGCACTAGAAGAAAGGAAAAGAAAAGAAAAGCCAGGGAAAGAAAAGGAAAATCAACTTAACTCAACTCGAAAAAAGGGGGAAAGGCGGCGGGCAATGTACAATCAAAATTGCCGTGGAGAAAGGCGAGGGAGGGCGGGAGGTAGGTGGGGCAATGTCGGGAAAACAGGGAAAAGCGGCTGCGACAAGCTGGTCTAAATTATGAAATACACTCGCTGGCAAAGAAAAGCGCAATTGCAAGGGAAAAGCGAAGGGCGGAGTAGTGATTCTGGGGAAAACTTTGAAAGTCTCTGCTGGGCTGCAGATTTTTCTATTAACTGGCACTGCAGCAACACAAACAACAACAATAGCAGGCAACTAATGCAATAATAAAGGAAATTTCCAAAAGAAAAGGCAGCGACAAAAAGAGAATAGAGAGCGGAGAAAAGAAATTTCACTCGCTGGCTAGAGTTGCTCCTCCGCTCTCCCGCTTTTCCGCTTTTCCTGCCCCAATTGACTTGGCGACACATTAGACTGCACTGCGCGTAATTTTGTCTATACAGTGTACACAGTACAATATAATGAATGCGGTTACATTATTTTATTTAAGCACTATATCCAAAATGCATGATTTCAATGCTGTAATGTAAGTACTGAGCAATTAAATTTCTTTCATATTCAAATAGGAATTACATTTTGTTCAGTGCAGTCCTGATGCCGAGCCAATTTTTAATCATAAAAGACAAGCGACAAACTCTTTGTCAGCCCAAAAGGAAATGCCAATGGGAAATGGGTGTGGAGTGGGGCTAGGTACAGTAGGTACACGGGGACACGAACTCATTTCCGGCTCATTACGACCTCGGCAGCCATAAAGCTAACGTTTTAAGCGCTCTAATTAGGTTCCGCCCGCCGCCTCCTTTTGTCCATTGGCCCATTGGCCCATTGGTCCTTTGATAATGGCCAGCAATTCTGATTTGATAATCTGGCAGCGATGCAGCGGCAATTGAATGACGGAATTCATTCCCCTGTTCAAGAAGTCACCAATTTAAGTCCCGAAGCCCTGTGCTGTTTAATCAGACTAATTAGGCACCCCTTTGCACCCCTCAAAAGCTTTGCATCCCTCATTTTCAGCGCTTCTGCGGCTAATTATGATGCCTGGTTATGACGTCAAAGCCAAAGTAATGCTGTCAGTTGCCTGGTTTTGTCTCAGCCCGCAATTGATTAATGCACAATTATTCGCAGACGCTTAAAATACATTTTCCAATTACAATTAGTGTCCGAAAAAGGGGTGCTTCCTCGGTGGAATGGGGTCAGTGAAGGGAATGTAATTGAAAATTTGGCCCGGACCCCGAAATGTTGGCAACGCTATTCAGCCAACTAAGTCGGATGATGGATGAATTATTCGGGCCACCTGTAACTACGAGAAACGGAAAGCCAACCAGCAGTGCTGGAACACTCAGCCAAAGTTCTAACTTTTTATTCATAGCAATACATATCATAATTCATCCTTTTTGAGAATATGTAAAGCCAAAATCAAAAGCAAAATCTCCATTTCAAAATTGTATATTATTATTCTTTCTGTGGGGTACATATCGTGGTGCTCATCTCTTGCCACATCCACTAGTCAACCGGTCAATGTCCTGTGTTCCCCAAGAGTGGCAGCCAATAAAGTGGCTCCGAAGACCGAGAGGCCTTAGGCGTGGAAAATTGAAATAAATGTGCTTTTAATTATGACTCTAGTGACGGCCACATCTCCGTCAATCAATTAGAGGTTGTCATCCCGTTTCCAAGTTGGCCAGTTGTTCGGTTGCTCAGTTGTTCAGCTTTTGGGCACCCTCGAAAAAGGAGAGGAGGAACGCGAAAGAGACGGCGAACAAATAGAAGAGAGATGGAACGAGCGGGGGGAATAGGACAGAGCTACAGTTTAAGCGAAGCGAAATGAAATAAAATCAAAAAGCTTCTTGTTGAAAATGGCCGCATAACTGAAAGTAAATTTACCCAGCAAACGAAACGAAATTGTTGCAAAAATATTTGAGCTGCATAAGCCCCAGATGGGGGCGGCAATATAGTGGGCGGCCGAGGCGAGGGGCGTGGCGTGGCGGCAGCTGTCACACCCAGCTTCTTTTGAACTATAAGTGTGTGTGTGCGTGTGTGTGTGTTGTGTCTGGGTGCATGTGTGTGTACATTTGATTTTATGACTGTCAACTGACGGCGAATGTTTGTCATGGCAACGTATTTGGCTTCCTGCCATTTCGATATATCAAGGCATCATAAATGCTGCTATAGCTGCACCACCAGCAATCACAAAAACAATAAAGTCAGGCTGGAAGCATGCTATATGGCAACATGGAGTACAAAAGTCGTGGCGCCACGTACGCGTATAGCCCCCATTTGGCTCAGTTAGCCGGCCCACGTTGCGTATGAGGAATGACGAATGCGAATGACGAATGAGTTTCATTTCCACTCGGGCCACGCACCCAGCCACTTGTCATCCTGGGCCGGATTATCTGCCGGGAATTCCCAAGTGCCTACGAAGTGCTCCCGCTCCTGCTGCTCCCGCTGCTCCCGCTGCTGCTGATCCTGCGGATCCCGCTCCACGGCTGGTGCTGCAATTACGGGGGATGACAGTGCGACATACAGTCGTATGTGCGTTTAAGGGCACTTCTGTCAGTGCTTTCGCCTTTAACTGGATAGAAAACTACGTGAATAATCCAGGTACATGCTCATCGATACTCAGACATCAGATACAGGAGCACTGCATCGAAATAGATTACACAGTTGATAATTACTCGATGGTACTTTAGGCACTCTGGCTTCAGCTTCATCTTATGCTGTAACTCCATTTTCTAGTAACTACAAGTACAATGTGTACAAAACCGCAACAAGCTGGCCATCTGAAGCCAAAACTGGGCCAATAATCGAAGTTCAAAGAAACTTGCACAACTATTTGTTCTGTTTGGTGGAAACATTGCGCATTTCAATTCCAGAACTCAGAATTGCATATCGATTGTACCGCATATCGCATTTCGGCACTCATTTAATTAGCGCCGACAAAATCGTGCACTGAGCGAAACGAAAATGCACACACGCAGAAATTCGAAAACTAATAAATGTAGCCTATTTTAATTCATATAGCATACATATTTTTGGTTGAAAGATGTACTGGAAATCCATTGATTGGTTGGCAACTAAATTAGCCGGCAGGTGAGTGGGTCTTTTCTCCAAGTGCTCCACTAACACAGCACCGATTGCCAATTGCCGCGAGTCAATTGTTATTGTATTGTAATTCGCTAGTCGAAATATTTGCCAGGACAATAACAATTTGGCTTGCCGCACAGGACCCTCGGCGTCAGTTGATTGGATGAGTGTGCGATGGCGGCGGCTGGAGCTGGTGGTGCTGGTGGTGCAGGGTGGCAGAGTGGTGCTGCAAAGTGGTGCCGGCTGGCAATTAATTTGCACTAACCACTGGGTAATTAAAATGAAAAGTAAATTACATAGCCGAGGCAAGGATCGGCGAAGGCACCCGTGTTCAGGACCTATCCTTCCGCAAATCCAGGACCATTGCACAACCTGACACACTTGCTGCTCTAACTGTATCTGTGTGTCTGTTTGCATGTGTGTGTGTGTGGTGGTCTGTGGGTTGTTTTTAAAAGCATTTGCTGCAAATGTATCTCGAACTTCGCACACTTGACTGCCATTCAATTTGCATAGGAAATTAGTTTGTTCGCTTTGAATTGAAGTTGGTCCCACGGGGCCAAACAAGGCCAAAAGTTGCTAAGAGCCACAGTGCGATAGAGATGGCCAGCCGGAGCGAGCGAGATGGCGGCTGTGCACACATGTAACCAAGACAGCCACCGCCAACAGGATAAGGCAAGTGTCATAACTACAAATGATTTATTAAACACCTCTGTTTAACAAATGGCATATCAGACAACTTTAAAATTAAAAATAGTGAATTTTCCTAATACATAAGAAATTTTGCTATAGCTCGAGTACTATTTTATTGCCCGCAGCTGTACGTGTGCGCCAACTGCCTTTGTGCACATTTATGCGTTTTGTTACTGGGGCTTTGAAAAGTAGGAGTATCTACCTTGCACTGACACAGCTGCTGGTGCACTGAGAAAAATCTGAACAAAATCAATCAATACAATACAATCAATACAAAAAGTATAATTTGAAATACCAGCAGCTTGACTGTAAAAGTCATTTTGGAAAGTTACCAATTTAAGAGCATTTGAAGCTCTTTTTTGTTGAGTGCACAGGCCAAGTGTATGTACTTTTAGCATGTTGTGCGTTGCACTTTGGATCTTCTTTTTGTTACTTAACCATGCAGGCGGCAAAGGGGCGACAGGGGCGCAAGGACGTAAAAAGGATACCATATGAGCACCTGTCTGTGCAACACGACAAGTTTTTGTTGTTTCGGGAGACGATTTGTCTCTGGGGCATTGAACACATGTAGTCACATGGTAGCCACATGAGCAAGATGAACGTACAATTTCAGCATTGATAATTAATCGATTAATTTGGGTGATACAAAAAAAGGGGACAACAATGGCGAGCTAATTGTTATGCAGAAGAATACCCCTTGGGTGTACTCAAAGTGCAACGAAAAAACGTTTACAAAGACATGCCAAAGTGAGTTATTATTTGAATTGATTTCTATTCAATAAATAACGTATTTAAATTTTGATTAGCAAGCAAGGTAGTGGCTTTTTTATTGCAACACATTTTCTATGCTCGTATATTCTGCATACATATTGAAATGAAATCTTGCCTATGGAGAAAATCACTAAGAAAATTAATTTCCTTGAATGCCAACTATTTTGATAAATTAGTTTGATGAATTTCCTGCACTCAACGATCTGTAGCTTCCAGCTAGCATTTGATTAAGCTCACATACAAATAGTGAAACCACAACGCCATCCTACCAGTAATTTTGCCAGCTTGCAGGTATTATTATTGCTTTTAGGGCGTTGACAGCTTTTCAAGCCGCACCCACCGAAGCAACCATGAAAATGGCTTAAATGGAAATTGTTGTACCACTCGAGACCGAGGAAAGTGGGGCGGGCAAATGGGAAATGGGAAATGGGATAAGGGATCCGTCGAGAAAGACAGGGACAGCGACAAACAGGTGGTCTGGGAATCGGGTTTCGGCATGTAATCCCCTTGTTGGGGTTAGACGACAATCTCTGCGGGATTCCAATGCCCAAATCGGCGAATCCCCTTCTGCGAAGCCTTAACAGCATGTATACAAACATATAGACGTTGATCGGAAACGTTACCGTTGGCAAGCGGTAGGGGGGAAATCCATTAAGGGTAATACCTTTATCTCAGATAACAGCCTCTTCTGTTTAATACACACTAATAATAATTCACACTACCTTAGGTCATCGCTTGACATATGCTTTAATATGCCTGAAAAGGAGAACGATGAATTGGTAGATCTTATTAGTCTCTATAAAACAATGTTATAATGTTAATGGTAGATCATATTAATCTCTATAAAATAATGTTAGACCTCAGACCCTATCTATGAATAATGGCGATGCCAAACTGGTAAATTGTCTCTATGCCATTTTGTCTTTTCAATTAAAATAACTAATTAACAAATTGAGAAGCCATACAAAGAGGGCAAAGTTGAAACTCTTTTATGTAACCAAAATATTCCACTTGAGAATAAATAATCTTGAGGCAGTTGAGGCACACTTTGTCGCTACTATTAATAAGATTGGAATACCCAGACTTTGAAGTTTACTTTTTCGGGTATTTATCAGCTGTTCCTGCTATACGAGTATATGTTGCTGTTGCTGAAGTATTTTGTGTTTCGGGTGTAGCTTGCACCTGCCACTTTCTTGACAGCGACTTTGTTCGGTATCCGGGGCAGGAACTCAAAATATTTATGAAGATGCTCGGCCAAAGTTGCGGAGCACGGAGGTAACAAGAAAACTTGTGGAAACAATTTGCCCGGCAAACTAGTTACCCACTACATTTGCCGGGCATATCTGTTCTAAGAGAGCTGGAAAACTTTGCGGCAAAGGTATTTAATTTTCGCCCCATACAAATAGAGGTCAGCCTAGTGGTCGAAAGGCCTGCTCATATTTAGAGTGGACCAACTTTTCCACACGTGTGCGTGTGTGTGTGTGATTGGGGCGGGTGGCAGTGGGCGTGGCACCGCACGCGGTAGGCAGTGGCAATGGCAATTTGAAATTTATGCACAAGTTGCAGTTCAACTGACAAACAAGCACATAAATCAATTTATCGGCCATTTGGGAGAATGAGCAGTGGGCGAATATCTCCATGTCCACCTACGTACATATGTGTGTGTGTGTGTTCTATATGGAATACATGTATCCGTAGAAATGTACATACATATATATAAATTTCCAAATGTGTAGGTATGAATTTGGTAGGTGGAGCAATGGCGTTTACAACTCCAGGGCACAATTATTGAGATTTGTTTGAACCAGAACAACAGGCCAGCAAAGTTATATGTGCACCAAACTGCTCTTATTTGGTTATTGGCCACTAGGTGGCGATCGATAAAGTTTCCGAGCATTTTCCCAGCCCAGCCCCCGAATTTTCGGCATAAAGGGTGTCCAACGCCTCGACTATGGCCAATCGGCCACTTTATCTACGTTTTTGGCCTGGCCAATGAGCGCCGTGGGCTATTTACAATTTGCTCTTGATTTGTTTCATCAACTTTCATTAAATTTTATAAAATTTTAATTGCCTTGCTTACATAGCCTCTTGCCTTTTCCCGTTAAAGTGTTTGCATTTCGGTATTTCTTCACTGCCAAACGATTTTTCGGCAACAATTTCTTCTTCTCGTCTAAGCTGTCTTCAAAAAGCTTTCCTTTGTGAATTGAAAAGCTACAAAGTTGGAAAGTGGTGGAAAATGTGTTCACTTTACCTGCAGTGAAAAATCATCACAACAATGAACGGCAAATGTAGTAACTGCTCAACTAAAAATTATTTAATATTTGTGAAAATTGGCAAATGTTCGAAAACCACTTTAAGCATTGCAGAAGCCAGTTAAAAATGTCTATGTGGACTGAATGTTTGTTTTCTCAGTCAAGCTTAAATGTTTGGGCATACTGGAAGTTCACGAAATGCCTATCGCTTAGTGCATTGAGCGGAATATCGCGAAAGTGGGATGATTAATCCGATATGCCGGGCAAAGTCATTTGCGTCTCTGTTCACTTTGCCGGCAAGCAATTAAATTTTAATTACACTTTTAGCGCTTGGCCCGCTAACAAGCTTCGGTTCCAGCTTTTCGCGGGAGCAGCGGGAGCAGCAGGAGCAGGACTCCTTTGCCAGTCTCATTTTAATGACAATTTATCGCCTTGGATATGGCCAGCTGGGCCGAAGGGGCGAGTCCTGCGAGCTCTGGGAGTCCTGTGCATCCTGTACGCGGTGTTGAGCTGGTGAGCTGCTGAGCTGCTGAGCTGGTGACCTGGTGAGCTGTGCGAACCGAAGTCCAGCTGACGTTCATTCCAAATTAGCCGCTGCACTTTTCAGTGCCGAGGTGCGGAAATGAGGAGATGCGGAGGTGCAGTCCAGCGGTCCTGCAGTCACTCGCGCAATAAATAAATCTGTCGTAATTAAAACGCGCCCTATGCGACATCGCCTCAACTGTCATCCGCAATTTACGTGCCCTCTCTATTTCGCCATCCGCACACCCACTTTCCTCATCTTCTCCTGTTCTCCATCTCTCAGTTCGCTTTTTCTCCACTTCTCCTATTCCTGTTCATTCTCTCGTGCTGTTACCCATCGCCCATTCCATTTTGTTGCCTTGGCAGCGGCGCACAAAATTCACAGCTATAAATTGCTTTGTTTCCAGGAATTCGCCAAAAGGGCAAAAAAGGAAAATAACTCGACTGCGTAACAAAATCCCGATGAACGAAGCTCAAATGCCCTGGAGTGTGACATGAAGATCGGATCCTAAGGACGTTAGCTGCATACCTTTTTGTGGCTTAGCATATGGAAAAGTTAGGTGACAAATTTGCTGAAGATGGTATTAGTTTGTGGCCAAATAAAGCGCTTGCTTCATAAAACTAGGTTCATTTTAAAATGTGAGACTTTGGTATTTGTGTGTAACAGGCGCAGCTTTGTTTATGCCACTGCTGCTCAAATACGTGTAAATTGTTGGCCTAAATGTCCAACTGGGAGATCGGTAGCGGTTCGGCTAGGGTATGTCCAATATTTCATTTTTTGCCAAAACTGCTTTGCCAAGCTGCGCAAAGATAAGGCAAGCAAAACACAAACAAACTCCGCCAAGGGCCAAAACGCGTACATAAATTTCCCAATGAAAGCGTACCCAGGAGGGCTCCACACTCAAAGGAATGGAATGGAATTGACTCCGGGGGTCAGGTTCTAGTCCAGGACACCGGAGCGAAGGTATCTGCGGAGTGGACCGAAGTGGACCGCCGGTATATTTATGCATTTTTCATCTATCAGTTGGACTGGATATCAAGGTGCGTTTGGGGATTAGTTGGGGATTGGTGGCTTAGAAACGCTATGGTCGAGAGGCTCGACAATCACATACCCTCTACTCCTCCCCTGCCATGTGGATTTAACTTATAGCAGGGATCAGCTGACATTATATAACATAATATAACATTGTTTTACAAGAAACACATACACATACCCTTTACTCCTCCTCTCCTCCTCCATTTGGATTGAACTTATGGCATGGGTCAGCTGCCATTATATGCATAATACAACATCGTCTTACGTGAAAGGGTATTCTTATAAGCATCCTCTGTTGTTGTTGCCATTCTGCACCTTTTATAAGTACACGTCGGGTTATTAATGTCCACATTGGCGTCACTCATGATGATCTACACTACGCGCATTTAACGCGTCCACTTGCGTCTACTTTGGCTTCTCAACGATTAATGCGCAGTTTTGTGCAGCTGCTTTTGTCTTCTCAATCTTTGGCATTCCCTTTTCATTATGTTGCTTCTCACTCTAACCAAGCAGCGCACGTGGCCACGCTCAGCGACTATCGGCTCTATCGGTCTCATTCTAGCAGAGTCCCGCTTATAGATAATTCATCTATTCATCCTCTCACATTGACGATAAATAGAAACACGCATAATAACAGAAGGAACGTGGAGAAGAAGTAAATAGCGACTGCGCGCATACACATTATTTTTTGCCTCGACATGCACATATTTGAATTGAAAGTCTGCTAAGAAATTGTAATGTTGTTAAATACAAAAGAGTGTTTTCTGCTTACTTTCGGCCAATGCAAGCATTCCAGGAATTCCCTGACTGCATTCCAGAACTTGTGCACTCGCTCCTCAACGCCTTCCATGCTCTTCTAGTTGGGCTTTCCCGCTGTTAACATTTCCTTTTTTTGCGTTTTCCCTGTTTCCCCTTTGTGTGGATCTCTTTCGAGTCGCTGGCAGCCGCCGCCGCTTGTCTCCCGTCCAAGTTCTTCACACTTCCGCGGACACCAGCACCCAGTCGGCGCCACCCACCAGCTGCATCGCAACGGCCTTGATGGGCGGCATGCATGACAGATGGCCACGCCCAGTGGAAAGTGGAAAGTGGAAATGATATCATTTGTACTCGCAACGGACGGCGAGCAATTTCGCCCAGTTGTCTGCTGTTTTCTGTTCTATACTTTCCAGCAAACAAAGGCGCTGCGTGATGCCAATGGGCGTGGCACATCTATGCACGGCAATAAATCCTTTACCAAAAAATGTTATATCTATAAATGCTATTTTAAAAGTATTATTTACGTGTTTACTGTCACTGAAAACATTGACTCTACCTATGTATGTATATCAAAGGATTTTGTTTACCAAGAATAATTTTTTTTAATTTGTTTTCAGTGTACTTGCTAGCCCAACTCGATGTTAGTGGTGTAGTTACTTGTCGTGGCGAAATGGAAGGGCACGAATGCTCTTAATGGCTCGCGCAGGCTTCGTCACTTAGTTTGCCATTTGGCTGCCAGCTTAGTTTAATGTATTACCCCGTAACTCCCCCCTCCACGGCCGTCTTGAGAAGCCCCGACCCCCCGCTCAACCCCCTGGAACAACCAACACCCATGCCAACGCCTCCAGCATCGCCTGTCGCCGTCCTGTCTTGGCCGAGGCCAAAGTGTTTTCTGCTGCTCCTGATTGACATGATATGATGGCAGCCGGGGGCTTCTGTTGGCGGTGGGATTGGTCGATGTGAAGTGTGGAATGTACATCTATAGATGGCAGACTTGAGATGGACAGGGGACAGGGACAGGGAACAGGGAAAATCCTGTCTTTCTCTGGCTTCGATTTGATTTGGCTTGGTTCGGTCGATCAATGAGTTTACCCAAAGTCAAATTGCTACTTGACCTAGGCAAGGATATTGCGGACTTGTCGGCAAATTATGTGGCTCCTGCTCCTGCTCCTGCTCCGGCTCCAGTTGTTGATGTGGGCGAAATGCCAGGGGGCGTTGGCGATTTCGATGGCGCTGGCTGGCCATTTGGATGGCTCAAACGCGGCATAAATCCGGCGACCGGTAATTGGAACGTGTGCGGAATTTTGCACTTTAAGGAGGTGGGAACGAATATGCCGATGGAATGTCTTCAAATTTGTATGCACAGTCGCATAATTCGTTGCATTTATGGTGGAGTATTTATATCATTTCATTCAATTAATACCAAATAAAATATACCTTTTAATGCTAGCATGGTATTAATAGGTATTAGGTATTTATATTTTAATGGCATACATCAGCATTTAGGAAATGCTTAAGAGTAACTGAAATACGTAACAGGTATCCAAATGAATTAAGCAAGGATAATTATGTTCCTCATTAGTATCTTTTAAAGTCGCATTCTGATGAGCCAAAACACTAGTATTTAATTCTAATTGATTGGGAAACAGCCTGTCCCTAACTTCCTGTTTCATCCAGATGTTGTGTGATCATCGCCCCCATCCATCATCGCCTTTTTCAATTTGAGTTCTGGCTTCTTTCCGCCCCAGGATCTGTGCATCTGTATCTGACGATTGGCCATGTATCTGCTTGTTGTTTCGATTAAAGGATTTCCGCCCCCAACTCCCCTCGATCCCCTTGGCGGCGGTGGCGGTGGCGGTGGCGGGTGCGGTGTTGTTGCCTCCTGATTAAGCATAATTTATGTTGGCCAAGTGGCGACCATTAGCGCTGCGTCGCCATCGCGGACTCCTCGGAGCCGGAGCCATGTCCATGATAAATGCGCCGCATTAGCGTCCAGTGCCGACCGGCAATAAATCCCCCGTCGAAATCTACCCCCTTATAACCTCTTTTCCCGATGTTTGGTTAATTTCGCTGCGGGAATTTTAAATCATCTTTAAATTAGGGTCATGCAAACTCAATAAACCAAAGGCAGTGGGTGCTGCTTGGTTTGCGGGTGGTGTTCACATCACCGCATCGCTACTTCTGCACTAATTGAGTTGCAGATACATTCGCACATTTGCCACAATTTGGCAAACAAATCACGTAGCAACTGACGCTGCTCATCCCACTGCCCACACCCATCGCCCATCCCCAATCCCCAATCCGCCATTCCACATCCGAAAAAGCACCCAAGGCCATTACACATGGCTCCTTCGACATCGTATTGCATTCCTCGATTTCGCTGGCGGGTTCACCTCCACCACGTCCATGTATGTATGTACATCAGAGCTTCCTCACTGGGTCGCCGGGTTTTTCGGGCACGGAGCAGATGTGTCCGGCGAAAGTGGGGCGGTATTTCAATATTGCGGAGCGCACAGAGACCAGTACTTAATTGATTCGCTGGGAGTTCCGAGGTATTAGCTTCAATGGAAGAACATTCGATCCTCTTCGGCCAGCGATCATGTAATCGTGCAATCTTTAAATGGGCGTTATATCAGAGCCGCCTTCTTTTAGATCTCTGAATATATATCCTTTGAATACGTTCCCATTCTCTGGCCGATTTTCATTTCGATTCAAATGCCTTTGGTGTGGGCTAAAAATTTGCATTTATTTAATTTGCCCCGGTCCCGAGAAATGCAAATGCCGCCGTTGCAATGCAAAATGTTTAAATGCAACCTCTCTCTGTCTCGCTAGCTCCCTCTCTCTCTCTGCTGCTTGGTGGCGTCTCTTTCGCTTGGAATACGGCCGTCTTTGTCTGCATTAATGCATATGCATGAGACTTAAGCGCGGCCACGCCTCGAAGTTGGTAGTTGGAAGCGACTACCCACTACCAAATTATCGACACTTAAAATGTTGCAAGCGTCGCCCCCGCCCTGCACCCCTCCCCCACTTGAACCCCTTTATAGCCTCCTTTGGCGCCCCGCTAATGCCACGTTAACCCCCTTTTTTCGGTGCTGCCTCTGGGGTCTTCATCTTCGTCTTCATCGCTGCCGAGCTTCGTCCGTTTGTCCTGCCAAAGGATTCCCGTCGACGTTTATGTAATCTTAATGTTTATGCAGCTTATGCTTCATAAATTCGCCACCCCCCGTGAAAGTTGCCCCAACCCCGCCGCCGCCACTGGAAATGCGCTGCTTTTGGCGCCGCGACGTCGTCTTCCGGTGGCATTTTGCGCCATCGCAGCTGGATCTTCATTTTATGCCCTTGCTGTTCGGTAATTTGGCCGGAATACAGTACAACTTTTCAGATCCACGGCACTCTTAACTTGCGATGGCAAAATTTTGAAACTTCATGTCCCTGAATTCAGTTTGGTTTGTTTGTAAAAAACATTATTGATGTCGCAAGGCCTTTTATAAAATGAATTAATTAATTGATTGAAAAGTAAATATTTGTTAGGAAACCAAGTACGCATTTGACTATAATAATTATTTCAATCTATGTGCGAATACAATCTTAGGGTAATTGCAGTTTTGCTTCCCTTTTCGTTGGCAATTCATTTCGTGTGTTTTTCCCGGCTCTTTTTGCTCTCTGCTTCCTTTTGCACATCCGTTGCCGTTTGTGCCATTTGTTTATTGCCAGTTTCATTGCTTCATTGCGAAAACTGGCGAGCTACACTCTGCTTATCTGCCCCCATGCCCCATGCCCCTTGCCCCATGCCCCAGCACGCCCGTGGAAATCCTGCCGCCTCGTGCTCGTTTTTGGTCCTTGCAGCTTCATCTTCATCCGCATCCGCATCCACATTGCTCCTGCTTTATTTTGGCTGATGGAAATATTTTTACGACAAGTTTTTCGCGAAGATTTGCAACATTTGCAGAAAAAGGAAACGGCAGCCAGCCAACGGAAGTGGATGTGGCACTGAAAGTTGCGCGAATCAGCGCAAAAACAAAAAAAACAAAAAAAAACAAAGAAACGAGCAAAAACCCTGGGAGTGGTCTGCTCAAATGGAACGCACATTTTGGCCATAAAACGCTTAAGGTTGATGTGTTCGCCTGGATCAACCTTTGACCCCGGCCCAAGCTGACCCCGGATGTTGTCGAGTTTTATGCCAACATTCGGTGGCCAGCATTGGAATGACAACCGTGCCCCGCACTTTTCGCGTCCATGAATTTTGCATGCGACAGCAGAATGCAAAATTATAATTAGGCAGCCGCGTGATGCGAGCGAAACAAGCGGTATGACCCTTTCTCCCCATTGCCCCCCTTTCTCCCCTTTAGCCAGAACAATTTCACAGTCAACGCACGTTCGGGCATAAAGCACATTTTATTAGCTTGCCTCTTGCAGCGGCCAGCGGGTGGGTGGTTCAGTGGTGCAGCACCACTGCCAACTGTCCTCTAATTCCGAGCTGCCGGATGCCACGTAATTGGTGTGACCAGGGCACAGGAAGTTTCGGGAGCATCGATTGCGTTCCATTGGCCAAAGTGCGAGCAGTGGCGCAGAAAGCTGGAAAAATCATTTACATTTTATTGCAACTTAGGAAAATGTGCAACTTGACTGGACAGGAACTAGACTGTTGCACATTTAAGCACAGATCAATCAATCAAAAAGACGCCATACGAATCTTCGGAATTCTCTCTGGGAGCAGCCGAAACTCCGGTCACACTTTGCCTGATTAGGTGGATACCTTTTTATACGATTTGATTCGCTAGTTTCCCCGCTGACAACGCTGCGTATGCGTAATAATTTTTTAGTTGCGCCACACCCGACACGAAACCCGTGGCAATGCAAATAAATATTCAATTGCAAATGGCTGAGGGGCGGGCCGCCCACTCCCCCTTTAGGCGGCTGTTTGGTTGTTGTTCCTCGAATGCTATAAAAGCAAAGGAGAAAGTGGGGAGGTACACGCGAGGCGGACGCGCTCAAATTGCAAATTGCGCTCGTTTACAAGCGAAATAAATGCGCGAGCGCCCGCCATTTGGCAGGAGTCAGCCATGCCCCACACACCACACAGATCCTGACCCACCGCACTTTGCGCTTTTCCACGGATTCCCGTGGAAATGCCGCCAGCGAATGGCATTAGAAAAATGAAGCGTCGTGCCGCAAAAGACAAGTTGCCTCGCTCGACTTGCCTGCCATTTTTGTGTTGCGTGCTTTTGGGCGCGTAATTAGATAAGCAGCCAGCCTGGATGTGGGTCCCGCTATCCCCCAGCCCCTTTTCCGTGTCACCAGCCAAGCAACAACCAACTGAACAGCCAGCCAGCCGCTGACAGATGGAGCGTCATAAAAGCGGCACCAGCAATGCGCCGCAGAATGTCTGCGGTAAGGAAAAGCGGCAAGGTGGAGCGGCGGAAATGGGAAATGGGTAAGCCGAGACAAGACCGACCATCCGACCGACCAGGCTTACGAGGAGTGGAAAGCGGCGACGGGGATTTGAATTTGTCACGTGGCCGGCAAACGCACCTGGGCACAAAGGGGCGGACAAGGACACAACATGCAATTATACGCAATCAACATAAATCATTCAAATTGCCATACACACACACACACACACACTCAGGGGGGGAAAAATAAAGGAAAGGCAAGGAAAAGAAAGGAAAGTCGGGGCGCACTTCAAAAGGGGGCGGCTGTCGGCGTGGGCGTGGTGACCGTTGAAGTTGGCCTTTGGCTTTTGGCTAATTTGCAATTGAAATGCCCAAATTGTGTGGGCTGGCCGCATTACGCATACGCCGTGTGGTGTCTGCGTGGCAAAGGCTCCTTAAACTTCCGCTCAGCCCATTCATCTTCCACCGCCGCATTCCAGGTCGGCTGACAAATGCCACAGGGGCACGTGAAGCGGTCAGTGGCCAAGGTAAATGTGCCTCAGACTGCCCATGGAGATCTCTTAATAAATTTCCCGGCCTTTTTTGCAACAAACTGCGGAATATCCTTGCAGGTTTTTGTCATTCGAGTGCGCAAGGGAAAGAAATTGGGAGATCACATTCATAAATTCTCAATAGCACTAATCAGTTCTGATTTTGGTGGCCTGAATACCGATTATTTGCGATTTTTATGGTTTATTTCGAGCTATTTATTGTACATTTCGGATGAGCAAAAATGACACGATTTTCTCAAGCCAGTGAAAAAAGCTCAATCAGTTGTTATCGAACCGAACATTAATATATATATGTGTCGGATATTTCCACATGGTTGGTACTAACTATACTATCTCCAGTAATTGCTGCCTTCAAAAGAAATCGCTTAACGCCAGGAACTTCAAATTTGGTCTCAGTAGTAGAGCAGGGAATCTAGAAGGAAAGGGCGATCGACGGTCGTCTATGCCGCAAATTTGCCGAATATTGAATTCCAAAATTTTGCCAACAGTGCCCAAGTCCAAATGCCAGTCGCCATCAAGAATCCATCAAAACCATCGTCCCGGGCTTATGCCTTGTCATCATTCGAACAGAAGGTCCATCGGCACGCCATAAATCTCGGCCAGCTGCAGCTTGGTGTAGGCAATAACGCCGCTGGGACAGTAGGCCATCGCCTCCTCCAGGGTGATCCACTTGGCGTTCGAGTCGCCGGCACATACCACATGCAGGTGGATGTTGCCCTCGAATACCTCATGGCTTATGATGCCCATCAGGTTGCTGGTGGCGCCACCGCTTGCGTTTCCGGCGATGTTGCCACTGCCGCTGCCACTGCCGTTACCGTTACCGTTTCCGCCTCCGTTTCCGTTTCCGCCAATGATGGTACCGCTCTGGCTCCCAGCGCCGCTCATTCCGCCGCCACCGCTGCCGCCGCCCACGCTGCTACCGCTGGCATTGGCGTTCGAAGAGGTGGCCGGATTCAGATTGATGACCATCCTGGAGGGGCAGCGATTAGGATGGGAGAAAACGATATCCAAAAGTGACTGACTGTGCGCACAACTCACCTGAATATAAAACTATCAAAAGTGGAAAAGAAATCGGATTGGAACCAGTGGTCAAAGTGGCTCGACACTCTGGACTCCTTGCAGCTTGCCGCCTTTGGCCTTCTGGCCCGGATGGTCCGTGGCTGGATTCTGGGTCAGTCCTGCGGGCACCGTGAACCTTGAACTTGGAGCCTACGAATTTAGTACTTATTCGGTGATCAGTGATCAGTGATCGGTGATCCAATGAGACTCTGGTGCAATAAGGATCTGTTCCACACTTCTGGGCGCCCAAGTCGCAATCGATTCTAGTGCAGCTTTTTGATTAGCTAGATACAATCACAAGTGATGATTTTTTCGCCGTTTGATTATTTTTTTTCGATTTTCTTCTATATTTTTTCTGTTGTTTAAACGGTGTGTGTGTAGTATGTGTCGGTTGTGTGTGTTGACTACCTAGACGATTTTAATATATCTAATGAGCCCTGACATATACCTGGCATTCCGCCCAAAGCCAGCTGGCACACCTTGAAATGTGAAATAGAGACGATTTGTTTCGGAATATCGGAAATGTATTGGGTTTCCAGCTGTTAATTGGAAATTGCATGCCGAATTCAACAACGAGCGTAATTCTATATTTTGCGCGCTATTTTCCTTTTTTGCCCAAAATACTGTGTTTTTCTGCTAAAAATTGAGATGTAATTTTATAAAAAGTTGTGTTTTTCATCAGCTTTTTATCATAACCTTCTACTGTTTTGTGCAGCAGAACAACTGCCTGTATCACTTTGCTGCTGACTTCCAATTAACAATTTGATACATTTACATAATGTTAATTAATAGGCGAATTTTGGGGTTTGAGTGGCATTCGGTTGGTATTCCTACAGAAAGTTGATTCATTCATTCTTTAGGGTTTGTGCGCAATATTTAACTGTGACTAACAATGGAGCAAGCAAAGTTTCCAGGGCTTTTCTTATTTTCCCCATTAAACACCAATACCATTCACATTTTTGACATATCCTGGCCACCCCACTGCTGCTTATGAATGCGCCATATAATGTCTGCCTCTGCCAGCGCCAAATGAACTGAACAAATAAAACTTTCACGGCAAAGTTGTTGACACGACAGCCTCCCCGCCATCCGATTTCCAGCTGCAGTTCCTCGCCTTCATGTTCACGCTTAGCGCTTTATTTACGATTGCAGGTGCAATGCGGGAAAAGTGAGGGAAAAGTGAGGGAAAAGTGCAGGAAAAGTGAGGGAAAAGCGATGGAAAAGCGCCGGTGCTGAGCTTAAGTCGCGGCAACAGGGGTCCCAAAGCAATTAAATCGCATTCGCCGTGTGGAAAGCAAATAGGATTCTGGGTGTGGCTTTGAATGAGGAGTCCGGACAGAGACAAACAATCAAACGGAAATTAATTGCGGTATGTGTGAAAAGTGAAAGCCAAAAGCTGTTCGGTAAATGATTGCCGAGCAGCGAGTTTTCCCATTTTCCCCTTTCTCCTAAACCCTGATTGATAGCTAGCCTCCTCCTGGCGCATTGACTCCTGTTCTCCAGAATCCAAATGAAACGGAATCAAGAAAGGACATAAATTTTAACCACACGCAGCGTAACTTTTACACAGCAACCAATAAAGTCAGACAAAGTCCCATGACTTTCGCTCGGGATAATGTGGCTAAGAACTAGTTCCAACAATTTACGACATATTTTGCCTGCTTTTTGGTCATTCAATATATGTTTTCCCTATTAAGAGGCTTTTCGCTGACTCATTGAACTTACGAGTATGTGAAACACAGAATTTTTCCACATTCGTGTCATGGCGCTGCCAAAACGCTATGAAGCAAGGTCGAAGTTTAATTAATACATCATTACGTGCTGTTTTTGGCCAACTTACCCATCTTTTCGAGGGAGTGACCCCCTCCATTTTGCCAACGTGCCCGTAGCTGCATCCACATCCGCATCCGGCTCACAATGAGCTGTAAACCGGTCATTGGACCGGCTGTGAGCTATATCTTCATGAAAGATTTGACAGTTGCACCAGCAGTCGCACCCAAGGGGCCAACTTGAGTAGGTGGAACCATTGCCTCGGTTACACGCCTGAGTTGGCTCCAGCATCCGCTGCACTGCTCTGCGCCAGCCAAGCGTTGCATATTGTCACCGGCCACCTGCCACCTGCCACACGCCACATGCCCCACGCCCCATGCCACTCCACTCGCCGCCCACTTGCAGTCGCACCCACTTCATAATGCTGTCAAGGCTGAGCGATGCTGAACTATTGAAGCCCGCCCTTAAATATTCACGAGTTCGTGGCTTGATGGCTTCTGCCCGAAGCAGTTGATGCCGCAGTGAAAGCGATCAAAGTGCGGAGTATTAACTTGTAAGCTGGCTTGAATGGCTCATTGCTGGCTGGCAATCTGCGCAGCAGTGTTTACACTCGATTGCCAACTCTGGCAACAGTTATAGACAACGTTAAAGAACATATTGGTTACCTAACATTTTATGTAAGATGTAATTGTAATTGTAAGATGCAACATCTAGCATAAATAACATATCAGCGAATTATGTGCATAGAGCACTAATTAGCAGGTGTTGTATTATCTAGTAAATATTATTTACTTATCTAAAAACGCTGCGGCAGCAATAAACAGCTGCAAGTTGGGCTCCGTGATTGAGTTTGGCCAGAGGTCAGCACACACACAAGGCGTGTATGTGTGTACTTGCCATTTTAGCTTTTGTTCTGGCCCCGTTTGTTGGCCAACTTACTGTGGAGCAGCAGCATCGAAAATCCAAAAACAATTCGAGTCTCGGCCCAGGTTTGCCAACATAAACAATTTATGCACAACAAACTGCACTCTTTTGAATGGCAAAGGAGCAAAAATGGAGAGCAGGAATAGAATAGGCAAAAAGTGCAAAAAAAAGAAGGAAAACGAAGAAAAAACGCAGGAGAAGTCCGGCTTGCAGCCAGCTAACTTTTAGCTCGGCTTGTTAGTTAAGCGCAAACAAGGGGCGGCAAGTGGACGTGGGCGTGGGCGTGGGCGTGGCTCTGGCCGGGTCATTTGAATGCATGTTTGGATGGACAGACGGATGGCCAGCGCCATCGATGATAAGCGAGAAGTCAACACGGCGGCGAAAGGGGATCGCTTGGAGCGGAGAAAGTGGGTGAAAGTGGGTGGCTCCGGCTGCTGGTCAGTGTGTTTGTGAGCTCTTGTGGCGGCCGAGGCGCAGAGTCAACGCCAATGGTAAATATTTAGCTCTCGGCTGCACTTGAGATTAACTCGCACACAGATGCGGCGCATCCAGCGGTACACACACACACTCAGACGCACACATACATATAGATATATGTACGTGCATGCTATGTGTGAGAAAGGGACAAAGGCGAAGTGAAGCGAAATACAAACACACTCAAAAGTGAAAATGGAAAAAGTTTCAATGGTTTTATCATGTTTACTTTTATTTGTGTCACTGAGTGGTTGTATAAGCCCCAGCAGAACCCCCATCCTGCTGTTATATAGCCAGGGGTCAGGGGTCAGGCGGCGGATAAACAAACATAGACGGAGACAGGGGAAATGGGAAAACGGGGCAAGCCGGAATGGAGGGGCTGGGGAAGTGGAAGGACTCACATAAGAAGCGTATGTTCAACACACTCGAGGGAGATCACTGGCTGCCGTGAAGTGGCCGACAAGTGACAGCACTGGATTTCGATAAGGAGCCGGGACAATGGCAGTGTCCTTGGTCCTTGGTGCTTGCTCCTCGGTGCCGGCTCCACCAGCTGAGCCCCGTTGAGCCACATCTGCGGCTACGGCTACAGAAGCAGCTCAGGGCATCGAACTGCGAAATTCCCTGAATCCCACTCGATTTACGCCTTTAATGCGCCGCTGACCTCTGACCCCTGACCCCTCACCTCAGTGCCGCCTAATCAGGTGCGAAGCCTGGCCAGATGTCCTCACAATTCGTTAGCCGATTTTACCGACTTCAGCCCATCCTGGCCATAAAGAACCCGACGCCTTTGCGGCCAGTCCCCAGATTGAGTGCGAATCGAAAACAGCTTAGGCTCAGGGGAAAGAGCCATGTTTAGCTTTAAAATGTACGAAATTGCAGCATTGGTGCTGGACAACAACGTACACACTTATATCTATGCAATCAACTGAAATAATTAATGAACGCCACATTAATTAAGCCATTAAACATTTAAAGAAGCATAAAAGTGATGTACGTTTACTTATCAGAGTCTTGGTGAAGTAGAAAAATTCATGAATATTTTTAAGTGATGCACTTCATTAGCACTTGCCTTTTAATTTAGTCGCAACTAAATTAGGCGTTAATCGGCTGATTACGTAGTTCGCAAATATACCGCACATTTTGTATAATAAAATGGGGGAAAACTTTCGTTTGAAGCCTTGCAGGCTTTTTGCTGCTGCATTTTCCCCACCATTTCGCCCGCTTTCCTCTCCCTTGGCAATCGACTAATTAATGAATATCCTTGCATAAGGCTAGCACAAACCCCCTAGGGGGCGGTGGGCGTGGCCAGGCCCCCGATATGTTGGGCCAGTTGACTTTGGGATTGGCTCTCGAGTGTTTGGTTTCCGTTGTGGCCCCCATTGTTTTGCCGGGCCTTTTGTTTGGACATGCTGAACAAAAACCTCTGGTACAGGGGGATTAGAGGTTAAAGGTTGTCAAGTGTGCGATCGGAGATAAAACCCAATGCCTCGGCCCCGCTCTGTATTGTGTTTGCCATTGTTTTTATTTTTGTGGCTTTTGTTTGCGCTTTTAGCAAGTAATTAGTTTGGCATAACATCGGCCCAACCACTTTTCTGGCTGCCCAAGTGTAGCGGCGACTTCTTGATGAAGGTCAGCTTGGCCCCAGGACGAGTATTTGATTTCGGTTGTGCAATCCTAACGAGAGCCTCCAGTTGCCGACATCAGAAAAAGTTCTCCGAGGAATTACACATCACTCTTTCGCAGCACTAAGCGGAAATGTTCCTCAGAAATAGATAGGAAACAGAAAGGTCTCTTATTTGGAACATTATCATTTTGTCTGTTAGCCTGACCCAATTCAAATTTGAACTCTAGCTCCTTCGGTCCTTTCTAACAGCATGCAAATCGCCGTTCCCTCAAAGTAAAGCGCTTATTATGATTGCATTTCGGTTTAGTTGATATGCCGGATCGCAGATGATTGCCCAGTGGCCCAGTGGCCACACAAGGATCAGTGCAGCGTGCGTGGTCTTGGTGGAGCCTGAAGGGGTTTCTGCAACTGAAACTGCGAAAGTAATAGTCCATCGGCCCCAATCCCCAAAACCCCCGAGCTTCGAACTCAAAATCGCCGCATGGGGTCGCATTATTTTGTCCGTCACTATTCCACTTTTAACTGCCATCCAGTCCTGTCCGCCTTATTT